ACTAAAAATCCAAGGTCACCACTAGCCCATGCACTGCCCTAGTCCTTGTCCCATGCGGTTTAAGCTCAATGATATGAACAAGGCTCCTGCAGCACATTCCAGCCCTCCTGGCTGTGACCGCGATGCTCTGCAGGGAAGGAAGAGACACACAGCAGTCATCAGGAGATGACACGGGGAGCAACGCTGACATCCATGTGGCAGAAAAACCGATCCTGCAGCCCCAGTGGCAGCTGGGTCAGGAATGAGCAGAGGGGCCTGGTACAAGGTGTTCTTGGTCTGAACCACGGGACAGAAATGTTTCACGGTTGTCAGGAGGCTGAGCCCCTTCCCCGTGGCTGTCTGGGGCCAGGGGACCTCCAGGGCTGACAGGACCCCCTGAGAACCAGCGACCAGAAACCAGAGAGCTGAACTCAGTGACTCCCACTGCAGTCAGGAGCTGTGTCTCATTCCCCCAGGGACCCAGCACAGCACCCCCTGCGTTGGGGTAGCTCTTCTTTCCCCTTCAGAGCATGAAGGGGAGTTGGACTAGATGATCTTTCGAGGTCCCTTCCAACTCCTAATACCCTAATATTCTGTGACTTCTGTCCCCTGTGAGCCCACAGGATAACATGAGACACTGCAGGTACAATGTGAGCACCTGCAATGTCACCATTTCCTCCTGAACACTCTCAAGACACAGTGTGACTGCTGACCCGCACAGGAGTGAAAAGGAAAACAGATATGCATAAGCACTGGACCAGTGTGTAAACTTGTCATTAAGAAAGAAATAACTTGAAAAAGGAGGGATTTAATGGCTAGCAAACGTGGACCAAGAAGCATAACCCTCCGAAGGGTTTCCTGGCTGCTGGCGAGCGGCAGATGAGCTGTGCAGCAATGCCATCTGCTGCCTCCAGCCCCCAGTGAGATGAAACCTGGGAGCTCTGCAAACAGCCGCAGCGTTTCGGGGATGCAGGGGGATGCTGCTCGTTACGGCCCATCTTGCAGAACTTGGGCTTTATTGCCACATATGAGCTGATTAGCAAACGAAGGATGCTTGTACAGTGGTACCTCTGTGCCGTTCATTTAAACCACTGCCATGATTTGACACTCGATCTTCCCTGATGGCGGAGGAGAGTCCCTGCCACGTGGACTCTGCATCCGTGACATTTCAGCCTGGGGAAGGGCTGGGATAGTTAGGAGCCACCTTGCAGGTCGTTGTTGATCTCATCACCACTTTGTGCACTGCAAGTACTGCAAGTCCTCAGAGAAAACGGGCCCGAGGAGCTCACAGATGCCATGCGCAGCCTTTAGCAGACAGACAGGTTTGAACATGGCTCTTGAAAGGTGGCATTGACACCAGACTGTGTATGACAAGAGCTGCTCAGGAATTTTATTGGAGTTAAAATTAAAAATATTAGCCAAATTCTCCTATTATATCCCTTCCCCTCCCTTATTCACACCCATATATAACAGCTGTGCTGAGCTTTGGCACATCCCCGGTGTCCCCAGCCCCTGCACATCAGCTGTGCTCTCCCCATTGGGGGCCAAGCCGTCCCCTTGGCCAGGTTCGTGAGCGTCACCCCTCAGCACAGTGCACATGAGGTCACTGCGGGGAGCTGGGCTCACAGGGACAAAACACAAGGATGTCTGAGTTTGCCAGCATTACTGGCAAAAGCCAGCTCTCCGCATGAATCCTTTGTATTCCAAACCCCAGCACAGAAGAAATAAAGATGATACAGATGTCTTCATATCATCCCAGGGCCATCCTCCAAAGAGGCATTTCTAACACCCTTTTACTTTCGAGCCAGTGAATTTTCATATGCACTCAGGGCCTGTGAAGCCCCACAGCGACGCAGATGCCAGGTTTTATCAGTTCAGCAGAGCATCATTTCCTTTACAGTGCTACGGCACTTGATTAGAGCATCCTCTTCCTTCTGCCCATAGGTAGGAAATGTTTTGAGGTCAAGGCTACTTGTCTCAAGAGATACCTTCCCAGGTGTTAGGGAGCAAAGTGACTTTTTTTTCTACCCTGTCCTAGTAATT